CTTTGGCCACTATCATTTGTCTCTTTGTTGTCTTATTTCAATAGAACGACTGCCGAAGATTCAGAGTGAAATTCAGCAAAACCTCTGACCGATCAGCGATGGAAAACTGCCGTCATTTCATTTCCGCCGTCTCTCCCCGAATCCCCGTGCGAGAGATGCCAGTAGCTGCGGGACCCGAGTCCGACTCCCAGATGCAGATGGAGGATTCACAGGTTATTTCTCCCGACTCGCAGCAAGTCAGTAGAGGAACCACACGCGGGGCCGGCTGCAGCTCTATAGCAAGCGCTGCTGCGAGTGGATTGACACTGTCTGACTTAGCGCAGAAGGTAGCCTATCTCCTTGATAGTCGTGATAGAGAAGGAGGAGGGTTGGGCGTTTGTAAGGGTTTTGTGCAATAATTGGCTATCCCACAGTCGCTACTGACGGCCGAGGTAACGTATTCGAAGCTCAAAATTCGGCCTTTCCGTTTTTCCTGCATCTATAGCTACCCAAATAGCATCGATATTGCAAAGAGAACACGCCAAGAGCTCTTGAAAATACATATCGTCTACCCATAAAAATTCAGATTTTCAAACATCGCAAGGGGCGTTTTCCATTCGACAAAATTTCTAGTTTGAACTCCAGGAAATTTCTAGGGGCATTTGGAACATTCCAGAAAAGAAGATAACCCAGCGAGGTATACCTAAAATTTAAAAACAATTTTGCCTAGAATTTCCTGTATTTTCTGCCAAATGAATGCTTCGCATCTCGGAAATTCAACAATATTCAAATTTTCCGGAAACTTTTCCAAAACATTTCTACTACATTTTCCTAGATTGTAAAAGTTATAGAATATTTGGTCGAAAAGCACCAACAGATTGACAAAATGATATCCTCATGCATATTTGACGATAATCAGACTTATAAAAACTCAACAGATTAAGTAATCAGTCTCATTCCCTGAATGCTTTTGTATTTCAGGTTACTTCATCAGAGTCACACAGGGATACCAACCAGTCCAGTAGCCATATTGATATACCACAGGATCAGCTAAGTCTGATGATAAGACTTTGTTTAACCGACAGTAACTTCCCTGCCTTTGTTGAGGCTGTTGAAAAGGAGCTGACAAACTTGACCTCTTCGGAATAAAACTAAACGTTTGAGTGTTGCATTCTCCGTGTTTTACATAAGCTAAGTGTACCACGCGATAGAAAATATGGCCTGCAGTGCAGACGGATTCCAGCTGTTGATTGTCTCTGCAAAAAATAACGTGTTATTATTTTCGGCGGAGACAAGCGACAGCTGGAAATACGACGGCGTTCGCAGGCTATAGAAAACACAGACAAACAGAATTTAGAAAAGCCGTTAACACTCGTCAAACAATCGAGAATACAGCCGTTACTGAAATACTCGCACAGAGAAGCCCTTGAATCATCAAGAGCGTAGGCGTTAAGTACTCGACAACAGTATTCTCCATTCTCCAATTTTTGGTTATATAGTTACGGCAAACAGATCGAGAAGAGGTCACACTGCCAAAATAGCTAACTAAAGTTATCGCTGTCTTGACTTTAGTCATAGCCTTTTTGATGTGATCACAGCCAAGATCACGTCCATCCATTGAAGCTAGACAAAACAAGCTGTTGTAGATTCTTTTACCTTTCGTGCGTTAGGCTCCGTCCACACTACGCCGGAGGAATTGAAAACGGAGGTTTAACCCCGAAAATGCATCACGTACATGTTTTCCGGTCCGTCCACACTACTTTGGAGGAATTTAGAAACTCAACAATCACTGGTCATTATGGATTTGTGTTTGAGGAAAACTCGGTCGGGGAGATCACATGATTATCGTGATGTTTTCGAAAAGCTTTGTTTTCAAAATGTTTCCCGTCCACATGAAAACGAAAAGTCGTCGTTTTCAAATTCCTCCGGTTCGAAGAGCGTTTCAGAAAGCTCCATTTTCGTGACTGATTGGTGTGGACGGTAGGCCTAATCGTGGTTTTATAAAGCTGCGTTTTCAAATTTCTCCGGCGTAATGAGGACGCTGTCTTAGAATTCGAAGAAAACAGAGATAGTACTAATGCACGGTTTTAAAAGTACAGAAAATGTTTGCAAGGGAAGTTAAAGAAATACAGCGATGGTAGAGCATATTTTGAATTGGGGGGAGGTGGGGGGTTTACAAGCGAGCGCCAGCGGCGCTAACTTGTAGGGGGTGTGGAGATATTTGTATTTTTTGCTTGAAATTTGGGGGGCTAAACTCCACCCCACCCCTCCCGGCTCCTCCCTCCCTGAAATAACCGTAAACGAACTTTACTGGATAACTCGGAAATAATATCAAGGTGACGTGTAAAAATAAAATACAATTAAGTTATTAAAATAATTAACAACAATAACAAATCAGGAAAGTGGTGCAAATTTTCAGAATATATAACTTTCATCACTTCATGGTCAGAGATATCCACCTCCTTTCAAAATATATACAGTTCTTGATCAATATAGTAATGTTTGCCAAATATAAATAAGTTGCAACTTTATTTAAAATCAGGATGTGTCATTGTTTTTTTGTTTTTTTTTTTTGTTTTTTGTTTTTTTCGCAACCAATCATGACCATTGCCATATGAATATGATATCATCGAAGCTGAAATCAAGTCCAATATTGCGAATCTAAAAAAACTAATTTTACAATCTATTATTGTAAACACGGAAAACTTTATATATCTAAGTCTCTTTTAAAACCATCATCTCAATAGACCATTTTACAGTTGTCTGCTCTGTGACCTGGCCTTTGTATGGCAGCGAGGCTAGAGTTGACCTTGTTTTGATACAGACCTCACTGCTTTTGTCATGTAAATGCACCTAGTTAGCATCAGAACAACTTGTTTTACRCAACAAAAGCAGTGAGGTCTGTATCAAAACAAGGTCAACTCTAGCCTCGCTGCCATACAAAGGCCAGGTCACTGAGCAGACAACTGTAAAATGGCCTATTGAACTTATTTGAAACAAAAAAACCTGCTGCTGCCGGAGGTGAGTGAAATTTGTTACATGAGACCACCAAGTGAATGCTCTTCATGATTCAACTGAAAACAAAACGTCGAAAAACTTGAATTGAAACAAATAACATGGCTGCTGTATGTAAAGAGACACTTGTACACTCCTTATTAGCGTATTGAAACTTAGACAATACCATGTGCACTAAAGGAAAGTTGTTAAGTTTCAGTTAGTGATCAGAAACAGCGTGATCGAATCGAATAACAGAAGTACTGAGTTTAACTTCTTTACGATAAAAACGTCTTTCAAATTTGTCTCGTGAAAACCAGATCAATACACAGCAATCAGCACATCGAATATTGTATGTTTGTCCACAATGACAGTGCGGAAGTTTTTTTGCTAAAAGAAATCTAAATTTAACATTGTAAGTTAGTTAAAACAGTGTACGCATTGTCTTTAACTAACGGTTTGAACTTACACCTTTAATTTTTTATACTTGGCAAAAAATAATAATTTCACTTTAGATATATGAAATCTCGCAGTCGATTTTTCGAACCTCCAAGTGAAACAAAAATTGGTTTTAAAAGTTGGGTAGTTCGAGAATTCGAGGGTTTGAAAATTACAGCGTTTGATTAGCGAGAATTTTGATTTCAGTTTTATTATTTTTCGATGAGGTTTTCGGTTTATATTGTTTGGCCTTCAGTTTAAGCCGAAAAAAGCATTATGCAAGAAAAATTAATTCCTCGGTTAACTTTTAATCCTGGGCAGGAGCCTGGGTTAGCGTTAACCGCTGAACAACCTGGCCCTGTAATTGCGCGAAAAAATCACCCCCTGAAACTTGACCGAAACTCCTCGTTGCGTTCTGAACAACGCACACAACCGTTACTACAGGTAAGTTAATGAAGAATGGCGGTATTGCGTGGTTCTAGGGTGTCAGACATCTTGAATAGTTTATTTGAACTTAGTTGTAGCCCTTTTTTAACAGTTGGCTATCAAGAATGATGTACATGCACATCTTTTGTACTTTTATCGCCCTTTTTATCTGCTTAAGCGATGTTTCACGTCAACGGCGGGAGTGCTTGGGCAACTCCAACTATTGTCCTGGCCAACTTGGAGCCATGGGCTCCATCTGTAGGGACAGATATTGCCTGTGTACTGGGTTTTAGTTCCTACTCCTCGCTACTCCTCCTTTTCGGGGAGTAGCGAGGGCCTAATTTCTAGAACAGCGGTTCGTAATCAAGCCGACGAGCCGCCCTGCTGTTGTATTTTCACTGGCCGTTGTGTGTTCATGTGGTCGGGCCATGCTTCTTTCTGCTATAGCTACGATGACACATTTGCCAGGTGAGGACATTACAACAGAGCTAGGTAAGGAAAGACAGATCAAAATTAAAGAGTGGCTAGAGAGTTATAGACCAGTACGCCAACGGACGGTTAGGAGCGAGACTGCAAAAGATATGAGGCTGGGGCCTTGCCGCCAGCTGTCTCCGCTGTTCATCGCACCGACAACGTATCTGAAAAATTTGAATTTGAATTTGAATTTGTGAGTCTCGACATGTGACGATAAGAGGTAACAATAGTTGTAAAATCATTAAGAGCCATTAAACGGTGTAGATTGATACGCATGGCAGCGAAAAACCCAAAGAAACCCTAAAGTAAAGCCACGAGAGCCGTTGAATAATATTTGTAATAAGTGTTCGTGGAAGTCTTGGGAAAAAAAAGAGACTTCATAGCTGACAAAATTACGTATCCTAAGGGCTAGAGTGGGCTTTTCATTCTTTGCCTAATTTACCTCTCTTGAATTACTTCGATGCCCTGATATCGACAGGAAAACAATTTCACATCTAGAATAAAAGGTTTGGAGTTTATCGGTATACTAGATTTGCAAAATAAGTGGGGTAGGCAATCATGCACGTTGCTAAAAAAATAAGAGTTAACGAGGTTCAAGTGTAATCAAATAATGAATATTATAAGTTTTACACTTCGTCTAGAGTTTAGTCTTAAAAGTGCGCAAATTACATAACAAATTTGAATAATTAACTTCCATTTTTAACTATTAACTGAGATTTACCGACAACCGACAAAGTAATGAAATTTTAACCAACAACCGACATATGGACTCCCCAATTCAGACCCTGAGCGTGTTTCATTCGAAACATAAACCACGCATTTCTATGGTTCATAATTCTTAATATAGAGACGTTACACACGGCGAAACGAAGATATAGATATGAATTTTATTTCTGAGTGGTAATAACAGTATTTTACGAACGAGCGCTGCGTTGAGCTGCGAGTGAGTAAATTGTTTTACTAAAATATCTTTTAAGACGAGAAAATAAAATTTTTATCTTTAAGCCATCGAGTAATTTTCTCTTTATTACATAGACAAACTGACTGTTTGCACGTCATCAATATCCTTAATTTCGAATGAATTTAACGAGTGTTGTATTTCCTAGTAAAACACTCGTATAGTAAAAACGCTGGATGTTGGATCGACGAGCACAAGAAAAGACCAAGTTGACCACTTGATACCGGGTGTGTCCCCTCAAAACATTGTGACGTCCTTCACCTCCACTCCACCATGCATCTCTTCGGCTAATACGTTATACACTAGTCAACTTATTTTTATTTTATTTTAGCTGATACATACGGATTTAAAATCGTTGAGAATAGTGATGCAGCCTTTGCCAAACCACAGTATAACAATCAACAGCCCCAGGCAATCTACAGCTGCGCGCCTGCTAGCAGTTCCACACAGTACGAAGTGCACGTACTGTCTGTGTACGAGGTTATTAACACACGTCCGCCATCAGCCGGTGATGCTAATGGAAATATTGTCAGCAGCGGCCAATCAGGCCGACCTATTGTACTCGTGTTTGCCAGCTACGAGCCTGTTAACTGGATTCTTAATGTATTAGCAAACATTACCATCAGTAAAATTATCTTGGTGAGTACACCACAGGAACTTAAACCGACGAAATCGTTTCAGATTTTAAGAGGGAATGCACCAGAAGTTCGAGTAACGAGTGGACAAAAACTTTGTAACAAGATTGTTTACATTCTGTTGCAAACTTCTGTGCGACTGTGTTAAATATCTTCTCAAAAGGAGTAATTTTTAACAACACCAAATGTCGAAAACCAATTTTGAAGTTCATTTGAAACGCTTGAAAGTTCTAGTTAAATAAAGACGATGATGAAATTTTATCTGTGTTTCCAAATGTCTCTGACCTTTGAAATTAATTTCCTCGAGTTCCCATGGGTAATTGGTATTGGTGTTGTTTCAAGCGACTATTCATATATTGAGCTCTTAGAAATGCAAACAGGACTGTAATATACTTGACATTATTCCGGTATAAAATTTTTGTCCGCTTAAAACTAAAATTGCTCGATTTCCTATCGGATTTTGTCTTGATTAAGACTTGAAGACATTGCGCAATCATGCATAATAAGCAGAAGTATTATGGATCTCTGACGCAATAAATTAGATAAAAGTAAAATATTTAACAACAAACAAACCTTCTGCGGAATACTTCAGAATTTGCGGTTCAATAACCAATAAAATCAATAAATCTACTCTTACTTTTCTTAACGAGATCTATTCCTTTTTCAAGTCTTTCTCCAATTGGCTCAACCAGTGATTTTAACATTATTAGCCTATGTTCACACTTGGTGCCTTTTGGTGCCTGAGTACAACTTAAGCTGGGCACTAATGTGAACACACCTCTCTTCCAAGTAATTACACCAGTGATAATTCGGGTTCAGACACGGACTGTGTTTTTCCTCACATTAACTTTGAGTAGAGTTCTCGTTAGTAATCCAGAATACCGTGAACACTAAGTAATCTTGCTAATCAAAGTCCTATGTGAGCTAAAAAAGAGTTGCACTCTACTTTTAGGTTGCTTACTACATAGACGAAAGGTCTGTTAGTGAAGACGTGAACCAAGTGTGAGTTGTTGACAGTAGGGGAACCCGTACTTCGGAATGGAGCTGAGCCGGAACATGGCAGCGATTCAGGGGGAAGAAATACCGTGGGACTTTTGCAGTAAGTAGATAGCAAGTGTGTTGGAGTTTGCGCAAAGGACTGCAAAGCAGAACAAAGACCGTAGACAAAGATTCCATCCATCCATCCATCCATTTATCTATTCATTCATCCGTTCGTTCGTTCGTGCATTCATTTATTAAATCATTCTTTAGTGGAAAAGGTTTAGATGGGTGCGGTAGCAGAAGACGCTGTATATCATTCTCCAGCAGCTTCCAGAACAGCTAACAATTTTTATTTCAATCCATACGGCCACAAATACCATAGCGGCTAACCCTGGAAGAGCTGTGGTAAGCATGATTAAAACATGACGCACTGATAGTCGTATTGATGTAGCTCTCCATGAACAATATACGTGCACGCATGTATTTTCTTTTTTTCCTGCGTTCTGTAGACAAGTGTATGACAGGTAGCGACGTTATTTACAGGAACATACAGAGCGGATAAATGGTCCCTGATGGTATCTTCACACACTGGTACATGTACATAGCTAACAATTTATTTGTTGCCAACTTATCAACTTTGTTAGTATAAAACATATATTTAACGTATTTTTTTAAAAAAAAACATATTTATGTTACAGGATGTATCTATATCTAACTGAAAAACAACCCAGTTTCTAACCTGTTACTCACATTGTGCAACTAACCAGAAGGAGAATATGCCCTTGAACCAAGTTAATCACGTCATTGGTGCCTGGTATGTATTATTTTTCAAGGCCTATACTACCTCCAAAGACGAAATCAGCTGTAAAAGTTTACTTAATATACATGTAGTTGTGTTAAATTGAGTACCTTTACCTGATCTCAATTTCATTAGCGTAACTTCATTTCTTGCTCGCTAAGATCTTCTTAAAATAACGAAAGTTTCTAAAAATGCGGCGCCTTATTTCGAAAACGAGCACGGTGGCCCCACATTTGTTATGTACTTTGTCTTATTACAGGTTCTCAGACGTTTGAAGACCTCAGTAACAGCTCCACCGGCAACAGCTCCACCGCCACACCCACTGCACCGGAGCGTCACCAAATGCATTCCACTTTCTTGAGCTCAAGCTAAGACGGCGATTATAAAAATGTGTGCTTTCGTAAGTAGCTTAATCATGGTCGCTTGCTGTGCTAAGTTAATAACAAGTCTGGAAAGTAAAAAAGTTATCTCCTGATTCGACCTTAAAACGTATAAAAGTAACAAGGGAGACTGCTTAGCTTATTACCTAAAGTGAAAGATATTAAACAAATATAGCTATTTTATCCAAAGTGTTTACGGAAAACCAACGTTCGTAGCTGCGGAGCGGAGCACCATGCTCATAGGAACCCGTAAATTGCTTTTCTCATGATCATCATGGCTAGCGGTATTACCCGAAATATTGCTTGTTGAAGCTATTTGATCCAAAATGTTTACAGAAAACCAACGCTCGTAGCTGCTGGTGTTGTAGTTAACTAGAGGACTAGGTGTTTATTCTAACCGGTTTGTTGTTATTTGTCGTAGTATCCTATTCAGCAGCACAAATGAGAAAATACATGCATATTTCCTCATGAGCTGCAAGTTGCAAACGAACACGGAAATTTCCCGACGTACAATTATAAAGATGTTTTAGCTGATGTAAAGGTACATGGAGATTTCCAAGTATGTTTAGTCAGCCAAAACGTAATTTCAGAAGCGAAAACAGTGATATAGAGAACCACGGAACTTTCCACTGAGGTATTTTTCGTCCGCCCAGATGTTAAGTATTTTTACATTTCGGCAGTGACTGTAGCGAAGCGAAGATACATAGAATTTGTATGTATCAGGTAAACACAATTAACACTATGAATCGAGAGACGTGCCTCAACTTTTAAACCACGAACTAGGAATACTATATCGAGATTCCCGACCTGGGGTTATTCGAACAAGGTTAATTAGAATTTTAAATGCGGTAGCACATGTAAGCGATATTGTCAGTATCTTGTGGTTGCCTTAAGGACAAATGTTATTTTACTTGCGTCGTGGATTTTCACGCAGCCAATCAGAGCGACGCGGAACTGTCGAGTTGAGTATTGCGAATCTTGAAACTGAAATTTTGCGCTATTCGTTTGACTTGTTTGATACATTACCTAAAAGTTTGGATGTTTCATAGCCAAAAGAAGGACATTTTCTCATCAGCTGACTCGACTAACTTATCTACCGAAGCTTGGTACTGACTCAGGTAGGTGAGTAACACACCGTTCACTAGCTAGCGCTTAACGAGCTTAAACGCTGTTCTTAAATTTAAGACCACAACATGTAAACGCTTGCCGTGTAGACATCCCATAGATAAGCTAATCAAAGTGGCTATGAACTACTCAACTTTGAAAACGAATCGTCTGTAAACAGCGTTGTGATGCCACTGAACTGAGTTTAATCCGTAGGTCGTATGTATCGAGCTAGCAACATAAACAAGACGAGCCCGAGGATTTTTAACATAATTGAAAACCAGGTTTTGGTTTATCAGTATTACAATACAAAAAGATTGTTACAATATTCTGGCTCTCTTTCAGAGTCATGCCAAGTTAGATCAAAAGAAGTAGACAGCTTGTATATCAAGGCTAATTACGCTATAAACAAGCTATGACATAACATGAGCTATCGGGCTGGAAAGGCGATAAATGAAATTAAAGACCACTGGCACTGTTAACAAATAATTTCAAACGCAACAGTAAAAGAATAATTGACACCATTTAGGACATTTAAAGCATTCATGAAGTCATGCTAGTCCGAGACGTTACAACAAAGAAAGCACTGCTTCTATCTGCCAACGTAGTAGATTAGTACTCTACGCGTGACCAAGTGAAAATCCCTGCATGGCCATCCCTGTGGCTCTCAGTTTCCTACTTTAAGCATAAAACCAGGAAGTACAAGTCAATTCTCAACTGCCTTTTACTAAAGATTCCGTATCGAAAAACGTGACATTTCCCAGGCTATTTACGTTACGTTACCCGTTATTTATTCATTCATTATTAATTAGGTCGAGTGCAAACTTAACATGCATATAAATTTTGTCAAACGTTTTGTTCCTTAAAACTCAGAGAAGTAATCAAATAAAAGCTTTTCTTTTTCCCGTTTCTCTGTTGCATTAGCTCTTTCTTACTATCCAAACGTGTTTAAAATCTAAACATACTCACTCGGTGACCGGATTCGCAAAAAATCTTACAGTAAACGAAGGAACGATGTCGTGCAGGATTTTTTCGAAATTAAAAGCTACGCGTAAAAACTACTGCATGAATACCTTGAAATACTGAATTCTATGTATCTCCGCGTACGAAAAGGTCTTTCGATCAAATGCATTTGTCTGCTGAAACACATTTTAATGGACGAAAGTAAAAAATGTTGCAGTGACATGCCAAAGCATTTTGCTCACAGACGAATTCATCGTGACGTTGATGATCGATTCTTTAGAATACTAAACAAAATAATATTTATAGGACTATAAAAAAAACTTTTTTTAGACTTTGTCACAACAATACAACTGTTGTAGGTTTCTGTCCTGAATAAGTTGTAGGCCTGACCTAAACAACAAAACAATTTAAGATTTGTGTTCTTCTACTATAACTTGTGTCAGTTGACAAGAGCATTATACGAGTTGACATCTTAGCTTGTTCAATTGTGCGAATCTAGCAGGATATTCTTTTTTTTTCGTCCTTTAAAACGCACGTGCCTGACGATGTTGTCGAAACTTTACAAATTATTCTTTGATTCCTTCAATTAAAGTTTCAGTATATAAGTTAGTCGCACTGAAGGGTTTATCACGATCTACAAGCTCTTCCACCCGACCTGATCAGCGTGGTTAACAATTGAAGGGGTGAGTGCAAAACCATGCTAAGTGACGATTTGGGTGAAAAAAAAAAAAAACTTCGCGAAAGGGCTTGAATTTTTGCATGTGCTCTTCAATGTAATAGAAAAACGTGGTTCTGTATTTTTCCCGCTGGGTTTTGCTTCGCTTTATAAAGACGCCGCCAGGAAAACCGAGTGGTTTTTTGGCATGCGCAATATCTCGAAAACGAAGCGAAGCTTAGCGGAAAAACTACGGGACATTGCTAAACATACCTAAACAAAACTGCATGCGAAATTTGGAGCGTTTTCGACAAAGTTCACTT